TCAGGGTCTGGGAAGATTCCATCCCATGTTATATTGTAGATGAAATTTGAGGCTGCAAGTTTTAATAAATACTATGATTTGGAATCCATAATTAAGATTGGAAAATTGGTGGATTTTATATTCTTAAACCTAAAATTCTTGAAGTTCCTAAATACTTATATTTTGTACAAGATACTCCATCCTGTAGTTATTTAACACCCAAGTTGCACATTTGCATCTAGTGCTAGCGCAAGTGTGGCTTGTTCTCCTCTCCTCCTCTTGTCATTGTCTGTACTGTCCTGTCTGTTACCACCCTAAACCTTTGCCACTTCACATTAGCTCCTTGAATAAAATATTCATTTTTTGATATAAATTTTACCATTATGCAGAAACATAGCATTGTTAAATTGAGGCAGTTTTGATAACTCCTGTATTTAACATAAAAAACTGGAGTTACTAGGCTTTTTACACAAGGGGCCCTGAATATAGTCTAATATCCCCAACTTGACACAGGTTACTAATGAAAAGTGCAATTTTTAGGTTTGTGAATGACTTGACCTTGTATGTGGCCAGGCAATTTATACAATTGACCTACATCTTGAAAGAAGAGATGGGTGCTGATGTAGTGATGGTATAAGGAAATCTAAATAACATGATTGAGAATTGAAGGAACCTGAATATTCAAAAGAACCAAAAGGTCACTGTTGAAGCATTCAATGAAGATGTACAGATTTTGGAAAGGGATGGCAATTGGTTTCTGAAAGGCACATTGATTTGTCAAGGATGGAAATGTGGTATTAACTGAGGAAGAGGAAAAAGAAAACAAAGATCAAGTAGATTTATAGCTCTAATTTGTGCCATACAATCTATGACGAATAGATCATTCTATTTAGAAACAAACTGCTTGATTGTCTCTCCATAACTAGACTGTTACCTGTTTAGTGTAAACAAATGAAGTAATTGAGTGCCTACTGACAGTTTAGTAGTATTTCCTAACTGCCCCCAAGCTGCATGATATGCTCACTAATTTGAAACGGCGTCAAATGCATTTAACCTGCAGTCAAAATCCAAGTCTTTTTGGAAGAAGAATCTGTGCTTGCATGGAATCATTTTTTTTTCTATTTTACCTGCTTATTTACATGCTGTTACCTTTAAAACATTTTGGAAATGCAAGCAAAAGGATTGCTGAAAAGACCAATCTCAAAATTGCTTTTCATTATTAATTCTTAAATTTATGTATCTGGCAATTTTGTATTGGTTTGACAATTTTGGTACTTTGTGATCATTTTAAGATACGTTATTTATTCACTGAGCCCAACTTCAAATTTTAGCTCTTATCCAAATCTTTACCTGCCTCCTTTTGAGGCCCAGATTTGTTACGATATTTGAAACTGTATACCTCAGCATCCCTTGCAGCACAGGTAGAAGCTATCATTTTTTTTTTGAGTACTGTGGTGGAAACTTAGACTGGGATAATTGAGATTTGTGGTTTGGTTGCCATGCAGGTTTTCTCTCGCTCTCTTGCTCACTCTCTCTCGCCCTCAACAATTGTACAATCCGTTCCAGCAGTCCAGTGGGGCTGCGGAGACAATATCCAGGAGGAGTGACAGTAGCTCCAAGTGCAGCCATGTAGTTTTCTCATGGGGGACCATGTGCATTCTGTCACCGCCACCTCTGTGGCTGCCTTTTAGCGAGCTAGCCCATGTTCTGATGTCTACACTCAAATAATGCAGTCTGAAAGTAGGCTCTCACACCGAGAGCTGCTTAAGACATCGTACAGGGCCAACTGCAGCCTCTCCACACTAAGTCCGTGAATAAACAAATATTTCTGTGTACTGTTGAAAGTGTTGTTGGATAAAATTATTTGAGTTGTATAATACAGTATGCAGATCCTGACCCAGCCTCCAGGGTTTCAGAAACAAAAACTGAGCTGGAGAAACTCAGCAAGTCTGGCAGTATCCGTGGAAAGAGAAACTGTTAATGTTGGAGTTCAATATGATTGTTCTTCAGAACTCTGTCTCTACAAATGCTGTTGCATTGACTTTGACTGTTTGTTTGTTTGTTTGTTTGTTTGTTTTATTTACTTTGACACTATCTGAAATTTAAAAGTAAATATAGGTGAACTGTACCTTTTTTTTTTAACTTGGGTAAAACCCAAGCTTTACACTTGCCTGGACACTTTTTTAAAAAAAAATCTACATGCCACGGTCAAACTACAAGTGGTATCGAAATATTTACTCTCCAGTTTTATTATAAAAATAAAACTCTGGCCAAGTTTAGAAATAACTAATGAATAGATAAAAAATTTAATTGGACTCCTTGAGAATTTTGGCAGTTGGTATGATAAAACTACAAACTAATGCAGTGCACAAGTGATTCTTAAAATCAACAAAAATCATTCTAATAGCCCAGATCTTCCAATACGGTTGTTTGCTGAAGCATAGGCTAGAGAATCCGTGTCAGAATCATGCAGAGATCCTGATGTATCAGACACTGCAAGAATTGTCCCGGAAGTTGAAGCTTCCAATAGACAATTGTTTGTAATCTTCTGACATCCCCATTTCTGGGTTAAAATTGTACTGTGGAGGATTCCAACTTAAATACCTTTGAAAAGCTGGACCAACTCACTTGGTCTGGCAGTATCTGTTGGGGGTGAGGGGGGAAGAGAGAGTGAGAGAGTGTTTTTTTTGTTTTTTAACAGATTTCCAGCATCTATAGTATTTTGCCTAATTATCTTGATAGTTTTCTAGGAAAAATTAAAGGGAGTGAAACCAATACAGGTTGTAACTTAGAAAAAGCAAGGACTGCACATGCTGGAAGCTAGAGTCAGTAAATGTAGAACTGGAAAGCACACCAGGTCAGACAGCATCTGAGGAGCAGGGATGCCAATGTTTTGGGGCGAAACACTGTCAGGACCGGGGAGGGGGAGGGGAGCTCAGAAATAGAGAGGAGGGTAGGAGTGATGGAGATAGGTGCAAGTAGGGGCTTATTGTGGTTGGTCAGTGGGAAGGGTGGAGTAGACAGGTTGGGGGTGGAGAGATTTTGAAGCTGGTGACGTCCATGTTCATGCCATTGGGCTGTAAGCTCCCAAGGCGAAATATCAGGTATTGTTCCTCCAGTTTACGTTTGGCCTCACTGGCCTCCTCCACTGTCAAGGATGGACATGTCACCAGGGGAGTGGGAGGGAAGTTAGTGAATAGCGACCAGAAGGTCGGGTTGGTTGGTGCATACACAGTGCAAGTGCTTTGAACTAGTCTCCCCATTTTATAGAGGAGACCACGTCGGAGGCAGTGGATACAGTAGATGAGGTTAGATGAATTGCAGGTGAATCTCTGCTGGGTTTGGAAGGATTGTTGGGGCCTTGGACAGAAGTGAGAGGAGAGGTGTAGGGACAGTGTAGCATCTCCCGCAGTTGCAGAGAAAGGTACCAGGTGTAGTGGAGCTGATGAGGGAGTCAGTGACTGGTTCTTGCGGAAAGTGAACAGGGGTGGGGAGGGAAATATCTTTTTGGTGGTGGAAATGTCAGAGGATGATGCATTGTATTCGGAGGTTGATGAAGTGGTATGTGAGGACTAAGGGGACTCTATCCTTGTTGCGGGGGAAGAGGATTTGAGGGCAGAAGTGCGGGAAATGGGGGAGATGTGGTTGAGGGTATCCTTGATAGCAGAGGAGGGGAAACTATGGTCCCTAAGTTGGAGAATATCTGGGAAGTTCTAGATTAGAGCACCTCCTCCTGGAAGCAGATGCGGCGGAGGTATTGTCAGTATGGGATAGTGTTTTTGCAGGAGGTGGGTGAGAGGAAGTGCAGTTGAGGTAATTGTGGGAGTCAGTGGGTTTGAAATGGATGTCAGTGGTGAGTCTGTTACCGGAGATGGAGATGAAGAGGTCCACTAAGGGGAGGGAGCTGTCAGAAATGGTCTAGGTGTTGAATTTGAGGGCCTGGTGGAAGGCTTTGGCAGAGTTGATGAACTGTTTGAGCTCCTTGTGCGAGCACGAGGCAGCACCAGTACAGTCATCAATGTAGCAGAGGAAGAGGTGAGGGATGGTGCCGGTGTCGTTGTTGAAGAGGGACTGTTCCACGAATCCTGCAAAGAGGCAGGCATAGCTTGGGCCTATGTGGGTGTCCATGGCCACCCCTTTGGTTGTAGGAAGTGGAAGGAATCAAAGGAAAAGTTTGAGGGTGAGGACCAGTTCTGCCAAGCGAATGAGTGTCGGTGGAGAGAGACGATTGATTGATTGATTGGGCCTATGGGAGAGGAAGAAGTGGAGATTTTTAGGCCACTCTCATGGGGGATATGAGTGTACAGGGACTGAACATTTGTGGTGAGGACGAATAATAACCCCCACCTGCATCCATCTATCTTAATCCCAACCCCTTCTCCCTCTATTTATTGGTGTTCCCCTCCCCAGCCCTGATGAAGTGTTTTAGCCCGAAACGTTGACTTCCCTACTCCTTGGATGCTGTCTAACCTGCTGTGCTTTTCCAGCTCCACATTTATTGACACTGGCTGTAACTCCCAACTAGCTATAAAACTAGCCACCCCATCTCCCCCAAATTTACCACTTATCTGAACCCATTCAATTTGACTTTTTAAGCCCCCTCTTCCTCCACCACCACTACCCCAAAAACCCTACCGTTTGCTTACTTTTTTCTCAAGAGCCAACACAATGACTTTCAGACCTTTTTAATCATGCTCCTGTACATGATGACAAGGTTTTGTTCGGGAAGGCTTCTGCCTTAGAAGTTCAGCCAGAGAAGTACTCTGAACTAAATGGCAATGTTTCCTCTTAAATGAGGTTCTGACTCTGGAAGATTTGAGCCAGTATAATTTCAGTACAGTTCTTATTACTTATGATTATTAGCAATTCATTTCCCAGCAATATGGCTGACAAAATCTGCCAACTTGAGGGATTTTATTTTTGCAATGACTACTGTGATATTTTCCTTATTCAAGTCAGATAGCTGAAGAACCCTTCAGTCTTTGCTTAAGATGTAACCAAAGTTTCTTGTTCTCCTCTAGGTGTGTAAATGAGTATGGAAGATTATGACTACCTATTTAAAATTGTCTTGATTGGAAATGCTGGCGTAGGAAAGACTTGCTTAGTGAGAAGATTTACTCAGGTAAGAAAGTGGGGCATGCTGAATTGTAAAAGATCAAATTGGAGTTAATTTGGGATAAGAGAACAGGTATTGCATACTTAATAACTGTTGTTTTGATTTTTACAGCTTTGCAATTATGATTGGAAAAATTTTAAACTATAACATTGAATTAGCTTTCCTGAAAATGTATTTTGGACTTCTGAATGTAAACCTGAATATGTAGATTTGCCTCTTCAGCACTTGAAGAAGAAAGCACAATTTGAGCTCTTGAGAGCTTCAAATTGGTGTTCAATATTTTCATTTTGGTTTTGGACTGAACTGAATGAGTATTTGGGACTGAAGGAGATGGATGTGGCTTGATACTGTCCCCTTCCTTTTAAAGGGGTCTAGCAGACTTTCATCGTCACTCAAAGAACAATCATCTCTTTCTTTTTAGTGTTATGGGTCGACATCCATACGAGAAGGTAGGAAAATTAGTTTAGTGATTACAAATTTGTTTTTCTGCTATAATTTGTGTAGTAAGACATTGAAGACAAGGGGACTGAACAATAGGTCAGGTCAGGGCAGGTTTGGATGGTTGACCTCTGCACCAGATTTTTCTCTTGGTTGCTGTTTCTACTGTGCCTGATTTCAGCAAGATGATGGAAGAAAATCTAATCCTAGAACATAATCTTAAGATTCTTTGAATTAAATTGTCTTGCAAAGTGGTTTGCTTATAAATGTAAATACAGAATGTGAAATCTAACTGGAGTGGTACATAAGAATGTTCTCCTGTGCTGTTTTTCCTGTGTTTATCAATATTGATTTTATATCCATTTGTATATAATTCACACAATGTAACATGTATTGAGTTGTTGATTCCTCGAGTATAATTGTGTAGTTCTTATTACCTTAGCTATAAATTTTATGCTGTTCTAAGAGCAGGCCATTCATGTGCTCCACAAATGCTTCTTTATCTAATCCCATCTGCATAGGGTCCTATTCCCTATTCCTTACTCCCTCATGTACTTCTGTCTCTTCCCTTCACAGGGTCTGTGCTATATTGCCTCAAATACTCCATGTGGTATTTGTAACTGTGCTCCAGCTAAAAATATTGTCCTGAATTTTTCATTGTTGGGGACCATCTAAGACTTAAAGCCCTTGGGTTTAGACTTTCCCTGAAGAGGAAACACTTGTGGGATTTTTGACATGATGGTAGTGTTGCTGGGCTAGTAATCTAAATACCCAGGCCAATGCTCTGTGAACATAAATCTCATCTGCTGCTAGAATTTAAATTAGTAAAGAAATCTGGAATCAAAAAGACTCCCATAATGGTGACCATCTGGTTCACTAATACCCTTGAGGGAAGGAAATCTGTTTGTTTACCTTGTCTGTGCTACACATGATCTAGACCCCCAAAATGTGATTGGCTCTTACATGCCCTCTGTAATGGTCCAGTAAGTTAGTCAATTGTATCAAACAGAAAATTCGTAAAGGAATGAAACTGGACCGATGATCTGGCATATGAAATGAGAATGGCAAGCTATGACCTCTTGACTTGCAAACTCATTCTTGCCAACATTTGAAGAGTTGTGACAAAATTGGAAGAGCTATTCCATGGACTAGACAAGTAATAGCCTGACATAGTTATACCCGGTGAATTATATCTTATAAACAATGTACCAGACCACCTCCATAATGTTTTCTTCATTTGTTCATTGTGTGTAGGTTTCACTGGCTGGGTCAGCATTTATTGCCCTCGAAGGTCACGGTGAACTACTGACTTGAACTGCTGTAGTCTGTTTGGTGTGGATGCACCCACACTGTTGGAGAAAATTCTAGGATTTTGACCCAGCAACACTGAAGGAACAGTGACACATTTTCAAGTCGGGCTGGCGTGTGGCTCAGAGGGGATCTTTCTGGTTGTGGTATTCCCAGGTATCTGCTGCTCATGTTCTTCTAGGTGGAAGTTGTGGTTTGGAAAGTGCTGTCTATAGAGCCTTAGTGAATTTCTGCAGGGCATCTTGTAGATAGTACCACTACTTCATTGTGGTGGAGCAAGTGAATATAGAACATATATCTGCAGATTTGATGCAAATCAAGCAGGCTGCTTTGTCCTGGGTGGTATCAAGCTTCCTGAGTGGTGTTGCCATTGCATTCATCCAGGAAAATGGTAAGTATTCTGCCACACTCCTGACTTGTGCTTTATAGATGGTGGACAGGCTTTGAGATTCCTAGCCTCTGACCTGCTGTTGTAGCCATGATATTTATTTGGCTTGTTCATTTCAGTTTCTGGTCAATGGTATCTCCCAGTATGTTGGTAGTGGGGTAATTGCTGATAGTTGTTATGGAATGTCAAGGAGCAATGGTCAGATTTTCTTTTTTTGGGGAGGGTCATTGGCTGGCATTTGTTTGGTGCCAATGTTACATGTCACTTGTCATTCTGAATCTAGATATTGTTTGAGTTTTGCTGAATTTAGACTTGGACTTCTTTCTGAGGAGGTACAAATGGTGTTGAACATTATGCAATCATCAGTAGATACCTCCACTCCGAGACCTTTTCTGATGAAGAGAAGATCATTAATGAAGCAGCTGTAGATGGTTGTGCTTAGGACACTCCCTTGAGGAACTCTCTCTTAGAGATACTGTGGAACTAAAGATGACCTACCTCCAACAACCACGAACATTTTTTTTGTGCTAGGTTTGACTCCAAACACTAGTTTGGACCCAAAACATCAGCTTTCCTGCTCCTCTGATGCTGCTTGGCCTGCTGTGTTCATCCAGCTCCACACCTTGCTATCTCAGATTCTCCAGCATCAGTTCCTACTATCTCTGAATCAATTTTAACCCCACTGCAAAGTATCTTCTAAGGATGCCTACCTTTTGAAGAAGTCACCCTCCTCCCTCTGGAAAAATCTCAGTGGATCTCTCTCCCACTGCAACCCTCTTGTAATCTCTTCGGCCCTGAAACTGCTCGACCACGTCCTGAAGCAAACCAGGTACTACAGCTACGTTGCCTTTCTTAGTACCTGCCTACGGAACCAGATCATCCCCAATGGACTACAGTCTACATTCAGCCTTTCCTAATTTGGCCCCAACCGCAACGACCACTACATGCAGAACATTCAGATCCTTCAGAAACATTTCTCTCCAACTCCTGAAACACACACACACTCACAACAATGCGCCGGCATCTCCTGGCACTACAATCAAGCCTACCCCAGCTCATAGCCTCCCTCTCCCAGGCCTGCAAAGGACCTCTCATGTTTTTCATTCTTCGCAGGATCCACAACCTCAACTCACAATTTGACTCTACCTTACTGGAAACTATAAAAACCGTAAGTACACTAAACTTACTGGTGCCTGCCACCCAACACAGGCGTCTTCCAGCCCCCCCAAATCCCCAACCCTACCCAGGACCTTCCCCACAATGTGCCCGCTGCCATTGGCCATGTGCTCACTATCGGGGCACCCACGGATTCCACCGGATATACCACTTCCGGTACAGCAAACGCCATCGACACTGCTGCTGATAGCGCCGCCTCCGTTTCTGAGACCAACAGCACCACCAACATCGAAGACACACCTGCCGCTACTGCCAACATCAACAACTTGACGCTGACACCGCTCCGCCCACCGCCGATGCCGCTGCTGCTGTGCCCACTGCCTCCATAGCCAGCAGCTCCACAGTAAACACCAGCCCCCAGCCCTGCCGGGTCTTCACCATCCCAGACCTCCCCCTCAACTGAGGACGAACGGTCAGTCCTCCGTAAAGGACTCCCCTTTATCCCCCTCCACCCTAACATCAACGAATACCGCTCACGCTTGGACGTTGAACAGTTTTTCCGCCCCTCTGCGCTTACTACTTTAATCGCGAGCCTAACCCTCCCTCTACTGACCCCTTCTCCTGTTTCCAACACACCCCATCCTCCTGGACACCACCACAAGGCCTCCGACCCTCTCTCGACCTCTTCATCTCCGGCTGCCATCGAGACATCAATCGTCTCAACTTCTCCACCCCTCTCACCCACTCCAACCTCTTCCCCCACAGCACATGCAGCCCTCCGCTCCAACCCTAACCTCACTATAAAACCTACAAACAAGGATGGCGCACTGACCTCTACATCGCCGAGGTCAGGCGCCAGCTCTCTGACACCTCCTCCTACCGCCTCCTTGATCATGACCCCACTCCCGACCACCAAAACACCATCTCCCAGACCATCCACAACCTCATCACCTCGGGCGACCTTCCACCCACTGCCTCCAACCTCATCGTTGCCCAACACCACACCGCCTGTTTCTATCTCCTTCCAAAATTCTACAAACCCGACTGCCCTGGTCGACCCATTGTCTCCGCCTGCTGCTGCCCCACTGAACTTATCTTCGCTTATCTTGACTCCGTTTTTTCCCCTCGGTCCAGGAACTCCCCACCTACATCCGTGACACCACCCACGCTCTCCTCCACCTCCAAAACTTCTGATTCCCTGGTCCCCAAAACCTCATCTTCACCATGGACGTCTAGTCCCCATATACTTGCCTTCCTCATGCAGATGGCCCAAAGGCCCTCCGCTTCTTTCTGTCCTGCAGGCCCGACCAGTCCCCCTCCACTGATACCCTCCATCCGCTTAGCTGAACTTGTCCTCACCCTTAACAACTTCCCCTTCAATTCCTCCCACTTCCTACAGACAAAGGGAGTAGCCATGGGTACCTGCATGGGCCCAAGCTATGCCTGCCTCTTTGTAGGATATGTGGAACAATCCCTCTTCTGCAGCTACACTGGTCCCATTCCCTACCTCTTTCTCTGTTACACCGATGACTGGATCAGCGTCGCCTCGTGCTCCCATGAGGAGCTCGAACAGTTCATCCACTTCACTAACACCTTCCACCCCAACCTTGCGTTCACCTGGACCATCTCCAATACTTCTATCTCCTTTCTGGACCTCTGTTTCCATCTCTGGCAACCACCTGGAAACTGACATCTATTTCAAGCCTACTGACTCCCACAGCTACCTAGAATACACCTCCTCTCGCCCACCTTTCTG